TTTCGTATTAAAAATATAAAAATAAAATTGGAAAATAATGAAAAATAAATATATTTAGATAATAATTATTATTTTAAGAATAAAAATAAAAATAAAAATTAATTTCGATGTAAACAGGTCAAAGAAATTCGATTTTACTGTTTAAAAACAATGAAGTTGGTGTTTTTTTTCCTGTTAAACATGAATAAAAAATTGTATTTTTGAACAAAAATAATATAAATTTAATTATAGTTCATAATTATACTATTTCGTGCCAAACAATAGTTTGACATTAAATGCCAATTGAGTATGACAGGGCGTTTTTTTTCAGGCCAATTGCGCCAGGCTCCGGAGCAGCCAATCATTGAAAAAAGGGCCTCCCCTCAAAATATTCCAGAGGTTTAACGACCACTTGGATTTGATCTTCGACTCCCAGAGCTGTGCTTGATGCTCTTGGTTAGAGCATCAGGTGGCCCTTTTCTTTTAACTCTCCGCCCTGTGGACACTGAAAGGGTGGTTTTAGCAAGCACATTATAATTTCGGGCAACTAAGTAATAAGAAAAGGACCCAACGGATGGACCGCTTCGAAAAATTCCTGAAGCTTTTCGACTCGTCCAGATCCCAGGTCCTCCAGAGCGGTTGCTGCTGCCCTAACCGCTCGTCCATCTGACCATTGACCTGGTGACATCATTGAAAAGTCTAAGAGGTCCTTTATTGCATATTCATTAGGTTATTGAGAAGTCATTGAATGGCTTAGTAACGATTAAAAGTTACGAGAATTTAACAGGGATTTCTGGAATCCCATAGAAGAGGAAGGCATTTCTAATGTTTCGACATTTTTCCATTTATCATTTTAATCATTTAATAATTACATTTACTGACGTTATATCGAGGATTCGGGACATTACCATTAAGAAGGCGGGATATGGGGACAGTGATGAATGCAAATTTCGTGAATATCTGGATATAGAGTAGACCAAGAAACAATCGAGTTTACGCTCTGAGGTATGTTAAAGGTTAAAATTTAATTTAAATTCTGGTTATAGCGTCATTAACATGCTTTATTTAAGTAGAAAATATGAAATAGAAGAACTAAAATAAAATATATTTTCGAAAATTGCTATATTTATAAGTTTATTTTTATTAAAATTTCAGATATTTTCATCTTCGAATGGCTCCCATAATAAATAAATAAATAAATGTAGGGAATAGGGTATCTATCGAACTATGGGAACCCTTTAGCTTTATGAGGCTTCTAGCAAGAGCAAAACACTGTTAAAAATTGTATATTTTTTAAAAATTAAACTAAACGATAAATAAATAGGCTAATAAACTTAATTTATAATAAATATTTTTGAGGCCTCTTAATTGTGAATTCCACACTTAGTGGACCTTTTACAGTTAGGCCAGGAAAAACGCATTAAATTCATTGTTGCTGAGCAGACCCAGTGATAGGGCCTACTTAAGAAATTATTAACAGTTTTAATTATATAAAAGGCATTAACTTTACTACTTAAATTGTGTAATTCGAAAAATATAAAGCATTATATTGATGGTAGAAAGTATAATTACTTGGCATGGAAATGCAATTTTGAATTATTTATAGTTTCGTTAAACGATGCTATTATTGCCGCCATCTTAAAATTAGTAACGATATTTGATATCAGTTAAATATCTAAACGAAAAGCAGACAATGGCGCTTTCTACAATGAAATCGATCAATCAAAATATTAGCTAATTTAAAAAAAAAATTGATATCTCGAAAATTTCGATTCATTCAACCGTATTCAACAATGGTTCGATATGAATAATTCAAAAGGGATACACATAGAAATGTCAACGTCGAACCTTTTACATCATCCTTTACATCACCCTTTCTTAGAATCATAAAGACAATGATATAATAAATATAAACGTGAAGAAAAGGTGAATCGTTGAGGTGAACTCTGGGCCGGATTTACGCATAGTTTAGTCGGATTCACACTAAGACTTAGGGCCTCTTACGCTAGGGGATCTCACGTATTCAAGATTATTATTATTTTCTAGAGGGAAGGCCTCTTATTTATTATAGCTTAGGGCTCGGGCTGTGACGATAGATGTAAGAACTGCCTCAAGCCCCGAAATTATTCGAAACGGTCCTGCTTAGGGCCAGAGAGTGCTGAATGAACACGTGCAAGAGATGGTACCTAAGGGCAGAGCCGGTTTCGCGTCTGTGATGACCTGTTCATTCGTACAGGGCCTTGCCCTTAGAGGGGCTTAGATGGGCACCGTGCTGGGTTAATGCTCGGTCTTCGGCATCTCGAAAAGGCCCTCCTCATTTATATTTTTCATTGAGGCCTCGCAAAATACGAAGCCAGTTCTGCCTAAGGGTACCATTTCTTGCACGTGCGTCAATGATAAATGTATAAGAATTGCTTAATTTCTTACATAACCATCAACGATGATTTCGATGAAATTATGAAAGAATGGTATTGTATATTGATTAATAAGAATAATGTTATAGAAGAATGGTGTTGCATGTTGATAAAGGGTATCCTTTATCAACATGCAATACCATTCTTTAAACTTAAGCACATCTCATTTACATATTTGATATGAAGAAAGTTATTACAAAATGATAATTTTTCACGAAAAGACAAGCAAATGAATTAATGAAAGTGATGAATGCCAATGCTGTACAATACTAGAATGTTAAGATAGTTGTATGGTAGGCGTTACTGCGGTTGCTGAATCAAATTCTGACGTTAAATTATGATTCAATGTGTATAAATAACCATAAAGAGAATTAATTTAATTATCATGTCTATCAACAAACATTAATGAAGTTACGTAACGAGGAAGCATTATCGGGCGTGTTCTGTATATTTTAAAAATTAGAAAACAACTGGAAACATCACTCAAAATTTGTTTAAACATTTATATACATGACATACTCGTATTCTGTACAACGTGAATTCTGATCCATATAATGAAGATCCACTCATTGAAAAGTCTAGTTTTAAGACATTACAATGGGCTTTTCTTCACTGTTTCTTGTTATATTCTTGTTATCGCGTAAAAATTTGATTAATTAATACACATCGTCGATTAATTTGCTGTAACACTAGAAACAACTCTTACCTACGATCGAAAAATTATGAGAAGAGAAATACAACCTACACGATTACATCACAGGAGACTAAAAGGCAGTTACGTGTCAAGCTAAATCTGCAGGTAATCTTATCANATATTCTTGTTATCGCGTAAAAATTTGATTAATTAATACACATTTTAATATAAAATATGAAAAATTTAACATTTATTTTAATGTTAAACATGATTTTAACAACCAACATTAACGCCATTCGCTTAAATTTAATAAAATATGCCGAATGGTTTCCACCAATCCACAACATTTTTTCTACTTGTACCCATTGAAATTATCATAATTATATATGTAAATGTTGAAATATCATAAATTAAAAATTAGCTGTCAAGATTTAGATGTTGAACATGATCATCACGTTCAACTTTTACATCTTTAATTTAAATTTATTAAAATTACGCCAATGGATCTTCGCGAATCTACTACATTCTTATACTTGTGCCCATTGCAATTATCATAATTAAGAATCTAGACATGTATATATCATAGTTAAACATCTACATATGTAGGTGTTAATGTTCAACACGATTATTAAATTAAATTTAAACATTTTAAAATTTAATCCAGTAAAATCATATTCAAAGGTTCTTCACGAATACTCATGGTTGTGCCCATTGCAATTAGCATATATAAATACCTAATTAAAAAACTTTAATCACAATTAAATTTTTAATCTTTTAAGCTATGTATTTAATAAAAAACATTAAAGTGGTTTTTTTTGTTTAATTGTAATCTTTTGGGATGTTTGAAGACGTTGGTTAAGCGGCTCACGTTTAACGTTATTCAAGAATCCGCGATGAGTTGTCCATTATTCAAATTCAAAAATTAGAACCGTTTCTTTATCATTTATGTCAAGGCACTTTGAAAAACCGTAAAAAAAGCAAGGAAAATATCATTAAACAGAATTATAAAAGAATAAATGAACAGAGTTAAAAGATAAAAGATCATAACCAGTTCTGAATAATCGCTATAATTGTAGATATTTTTGAAAAAATCTCAAGTTTTACTTGCTGTAAACCTCTGAACAACGGCCACTGAAGGAAACGTAAAAAAGAGAAGAAAAAAGACCATTGTTCGGAGGTTATTTTGTATGCATTTCAAAAAGAAACGTTCCATAAAAATGACCATCATTTAGAGGTACCCGTTATTGGAGGTTCGACTGTATTTAAAATGCATGAGTTTGAGTATGCGGCTATAACTTTAATCAAAATTTCAGGCATGTGAGGATGTGTGTACGGGTTTCTGTACCTTAAAATATGAAGCCACAAATTTCAGGCTTATGAGGTCGAGTAAAACTATGAAACCACAGTTTCCATCTAAATTTAAGACTTATGAAGCTGAATGTTTGAGTAGTTTAATGAAGATATTAAATTTACGATTCAAATGACTATCTTTAATTATGAGGTTACAATTTCTGATACAAATTTCCGAGATATAAGGCTGTCGTGTGGATATTCTTAGGTATGAGTCTATAATTTTCTATACAAATTATAGTCCATGAAACCGAGGATACATGAGACTAAGTATGAGACTACTTTTAACTGAGTATGATCCAAAATTCAAGCTTCGTAAGCTTGAATTTTAGTTCATACTCAGTTAAAAGTGTTGTGTACTTGCAATTATAAGCATTGAATTTTTCTTTATTTTATTTTCATAAAAGAAAAAAAAAAGAAAAATAATTGAACAACGAAATAAAACGAAAAAATAATTATAAATTACACTAAATTTCTAATGTTTTGGTTAATTTTCTTATAAGTAACATCCCACCGATTTTTTGATGACGAATTTGCTGGCACTTTCAGTTTTTCCTCACGACAATCACGTGACCCCGCAAAGACGTATATAAGGTGAGCACTTCCAAGGGCGACTGTTTTGCACGTGTTCTCTACCGTCAGGTCATTACGAGCGAAGATCTCACCTGGCCAGGTAAGTTTTGTCATTTACTAGATCCTCCCATAAACAAAATAACTGTACGCCCGAATATTTTTATGTAGATCTATAAATATATATATATTTTTAATACACGCATTCTAGTGTTAAAGATAAAATTACACACACACACACAAAAAAAAAAAGAAAAAAAATACAAGAAAAATTTCGGCTCCTTTAAACAATTTAGGTTGATTCTAATCTGTGATAACGTCATTAAGTGATAACCTCTTCTGGTCGCATCTTTCTCACATCGATGTGGAATAGTCCCCATTCCATGCAAATGATGCTAGTGTTTAACCAGTCATCACTGGTTTTTAGTATCATATACTGTGGGAAAATGAAAGTGACCTACATAGTATGACATGGAAGAAGTCATCGGGTCACAGACCGATACAACAAGTTAATTTTTGGCGCCAAAATCAACTTGTAGTATCAGTAACCTCCGATAGCAAGTTCAAGGTTTCCCTTTCAAACACTTTTTTTTTAAATTTTTTTTTTAATGTACGTACGGGGCTAATCACGTGAATTGATTACCTCCATCCTGATTGGTTAGTACTTTTTTTTTTTTAATATTTAAACTGAATGAGGCAGAAGGAAATTGATTGATACGTTCTACGCTGATTGGACTATTAAGGAAAATTTCAAATTTCAAATTTTTATATGTATTTTATGTATTAATATATTATATATATATATATATATATGCTCCCATACCTCGCTTTACGGCCTAGATACGTTCCACGAAACTTGGCCGCAAAGCGAAAAGCCGTATAAGGAATCAATTATTCTAATACAAATTCATACAAATTCAATGGGATCGGTTCCAAATTTATTAAATATGTAACATGGTTTATCATTCAAAATGCATTTTATCTTTTTATTTCATTTAAATCAAAAATACATACATAAGAAGTACATACATTTGTACATAAAATAATAACAGACTCCAAAAACCAACAATAATCTATAAACAAAAATGAANTGGAAAAGTGTAATGGCCTCGTTCGTTCGTTTCATTCTTACCAGATGGCAGCACAATCGCACAATGTTGCCACACGCGATAAGAACGATTTTCCTGTATTTATTTTATTTTATTTTTAAATATTCGTAACTTTCTGTTACAAAAAAATCTGCTCTTTAAACAATTTTAAATATATATGAAATTTTTAAAAATATAATTCAGAAAATATCATAAAATACAGATACAACAGGAAATAAATATTTAAAATATTATTTAAATCAGTCATACTTGCGAACAATGGCTACTGATGAGACCATTAAAATGACCTTTATATGGAGGTTATTTTGTATATATATTTTTAATTTTTTATACTATAAATGCTTGTTTAATTTACCTAATACTGCCTAATTTATATCATTGCAAAGGGTTTGTTTGATTACATTGGGAAGACTTAACTTTCCAGATTGCAGAATTTTAACTGTAGAGCAAGAAAAAATAAAGATAGAAATTTGCAAAGTTTAAATATTAACACCGTCTATTAATGGTTTTGTATGCATAAAAGCTTTGAAATTTCCTGGTAAGAGCAGAGTTACATTATTGCTAAAAATTAGAAAAATATATTTAAAAGATGTAATCACAGCTGTATTTACTGAATTATTGAATATGTGATAAATAATGTCATTAAACATACTTTTTCCAACTTCACCAGCGAAAATATATGTTATTTTCATACAATTGAACTTAGTTTAATGCAGTTTGCAGATGAAATTACAGATATTGTGATAGAACAAAATTGTGAAGATCAGTCTTCAAAATTTTGATTGCACTCATAAAATGCAAAGAGAAAGTTGTAATTGTAAGAAATGATATTATTTAATGGGTTTGCGTGTTTAAATACTTTAAAATTTATTAGATATCAGAGAAATTGTGGAAAATATATCTGAATGCTCACTGATAAATTCCTGATATTACCCTAATACAAAAATGCATTTTATGACCACCTATAACGTGTTTCTTACAACTTTTAGAGTACAAATTCAAGATGCAAGTTTGTACAATTATTGTATAAATTTCTGTTAAAGTGACAGACATTAAAAAATCAAAATTACTTTAGTTAAATTTAATAACGTATGCCAAAAAAGCTCTTTAATATTCCATTATAATATACATTCATTTAAATTTTTCTTCAAGAAAGGGAAAAAATATTACGCTTAATGGCCATCAAGATATCATTAAAATAATTCAGGAAATGCATATAATTAATTGCATAAAAACATCCTCGAAAAGTTAATTATCGTAGTAAGGTGTTAAATGAAATGTCATTTGAAATTATAAAACACATTTTAATCATCAAGGACAAGTAGAAACAACCATTAAAATTCTTGTAAAAGACTTCTTTCATTCCATTCCTCCAATTAACATAATTTACAAATATTTAAAAAAGTTCTTTCTCCAACTTAAAATTTTTAACTCTTGCTGTACTGTGGACACTAAGAGAGCTTTTTCCCCATAGCCATCATGGGTTCGGTCAGGCCCACAATGTTACGTCAGGGACCGAACATAAATGAAACTGATCACCTCTATGAAGATTTTCTGGGGCCCGGATTCGATCGCAAGTCTGTCAGCTTGTAGGTTGACTGACGCCTTAATCAACTTGTCCTTCCTGCCATTCTGATTTTCCACTTAATAGGTCTACGTGAGTAGATTGAACTAAGCCCTGTACGTTACTTAGTGTCCGATTTAGGCATGAGCTAAATGGTTACAGTTTTAGGGCCTATGTTATTAGGCTATGCTTAGGCTTTACACTCATTGGAAGGGCCTGTTAGATAAGGCTAAAAACAGTAATTTTGTGCTTGTTCTCTCCATTCTGCCTGTTCTGATTGTGAGCCTGGTTGAACTCATAATGGGAGACGACTGAAATGATAATGGTACTAGACAATGTTTTAAATGGATCTGGGTAAGGATTCAGATCAGGAACCTCGGGAGCTTTTCGTGCACAGTCTATTTGAATGTACCAGGCCCCCGTCTTTCACCTGATAGGTCCCATTGTGGGCCTGGTCGAACCTATAATGGGTTCACAAAAAGGTGCATAGAAAGCAGAAAGATTTAAAAAATAAATAATAAAAATCCTTCAATTGTTAATAATGATTTAAAATATTAGCAATTATAATAGATTTTATTCAAATTATAATAATTTTAATAATGTCGTTTATCTAATGATTTACAGTAAAATTAAAACCAGTTTACTGAGGGAAAATTAGATCGATAAACTCGAAATTATTTTATTTCCTGTTAAAAATGTTTTAAAAAACATTTATTTTAAATTATTTGAAAACGAAGTTTTGACTCTCTGCCAATTCTTTTCGCGACGTCATCCAGTAAAGTGTCAAGTCCGGTTGTGTCGTCACCGGATGGGAATATTTAAATATTTTTTTTTAACGAGTTTTATTTATTTTATTATGAGAAAATTTTACGTGTTAAGCAACCAAAGAGATTTTTTTCTTCTTAAAATCAATTTTTTTTTTATATGCCAATATTTTATTATTCTAAACAATTACTTAAACAATAGAAGTGGTAATTATATTGCATAATAATGAATTAGTTTGAAAGAAATAATAATTATTCGAAAAAATAACTGTAATGATAGAAGCCGAGAATAAATATAACAATTTTAACGATAATTTTATACTTAAAATAGCATTTTATTGGTTAGTTTTTTTAAACTTTCAGTAGTTATGTAAGAAAAGATGTTAGAAGTATTATAAAATGGTGAATAAATACTTGGCATTTTAAAATATTTGAATCATTATTATTATTATTATTATTATAAAAAGAAGAAAAAAAGGAGATTTTTGGGTCAGATTCAAAAACAAATTTAAGTAAATTATGTTTAAATTCATGAATTTTATGCGCAATTTAAAAGTTTACAACAATTAAATGCATGCACGACTTGATTACTCTTTGCCAAATAATTTTGTTATCCTTGTTATTTTTATGGCTGAAATAAAAGTTATGCAGGTGTTGTTGATGTTATTGACGTCACTTAATACACGAAGTGTTTAATTAGAAGCGAAACAGCCTTTCAACTCCAGGTCAAAGGTGAAGGCAAAAGCGAAAAATTCCCCTATTTTCGCCAAATGGTGGTGTTGACAAACAGAAAGTAAAATCTTATCGCAATTCAATATCTACACGTATGATAATCAATGCAAACGTATAGACAAACAGCGGAAATTTCATGTTATTGTTTCGATCGCATGACTGATTCACTGGATGACACGATTTTTTAGCAATAATATACTATTAATGGGTTTTGTCTAAGAACCACGCCGAGACTATCCCTGAGTGACTCTATTCAATTCACTGTCCCCTTTTGTCCACTCTCACAAACGTTGTCACATCACTTTTCCATTTAAAAAGCAATGAAGTATACAGGTTTGGATATAATAGTACGAATTCTAACAAGGAAAAACAAGACAATTTTTAATGTTTGAATCAAAAATAAATCTTCGTATTGAATATCGGTTTCTAGTGAATAAAAACCAGAATTTCTTGTATAATTTATCATCTGTAATACTGTAGAATGGCATTTGGGAGAGATTAATTATTTCTTAAAATAGAATTTTAGAAAAATATTTAAATTTTTTCTTTATAAAATTTTTAAAATTCGTTTATAATATTTTACTATAATATATTTCTATGTATTTTTTATTTTTTATTAATAATAATAATAATGTGCATTTAGGAGAGCAATAACTGATCTAATTATGGTTATAACTGTATTTATATATAAGCTAAACAAACTAGTGTCAAGAGCCTCATGCCTGGAGTCTACAGCCTAGGGCCTCACGCTAGGAGGCTACAGCTTAAGGCCTCGAGCTACGAGGCTCATATCTTTGGGCTTACATTGATTAATTTATTATTATTTGGGGAAGGAGAAGTGCTTCTTTTATACTCTATAGCTTAAGGCCACAAGTCTAAATTCGGCTGTGATCATAGCATAATAAAAAAGCTTTTACGTTATAAATTGTAAAATAAAAAAAAAGTTTTAAAATTAATTTTTAATATTATTTATATTTTTATAGAAAATTTAAATAATGTACATTTATAAGTGCAATAACCCGTCTTATGCTTTTATTAATTATAAAATTAATTTTAATAAGATTTTAATAATTAATTAACGTTTTTCAGTTCTTGATTTAACAGAAAAAGTCGTTTAGTATTTAAAAACTTTCTATTATTTATTTATTTAAACAATGTACAATGAAGTTAACTTGTAAATGAGTTAAGTATATTTGTATCCACATTTAAAAGAATAATTTTTAGAGTAAATTAAGCAGAAACCGTTAATTTCAAATCTAGTTTAACCTGGTTTATAAATAACAATGTCCGAATTTTAAATTAAATTATTTTATTATTAGCATTTTCTAATTAATGGTCAATGAACAAAGAAAAGATTCAAATGAGAAAAACACTTCCAGGTTTTTTTTTATTGTTATTTTATTTCGATAATGAGCTTATCAAAAGAGGTAGGAAATATGATAAAATTGAATTTTTTAATTGTTTTACGCTCCAAAGCCTTCTTATCGGGAAATTTTTGTCCCGATTTAAAAAAATAAAAAGAAATATACCAGAAACAAAGAAGCGTATCGCTAGACATTTTATGTTTTGTATATTTAGTTAATAAGTGTAACTACCGCTTAATAAAAACCTCAACTTATTATTGTCCTATTTTTTGATGGGGAATTAAAAAAAATAAATAAATAAAAAATACGGAATTTCTTCCGATTGTGCTCTCAGGTGGCGCTACCAAGAACTGCTAAACATCGATTGACGCGCCCCCACTGCGATGTGTTTAATATAATATGTGGATTACAATTAGACTATAAAGGAATCGATTGATTTAAATTTGAGTAAATTAAAGAAGGAAATATTCTATAATTTGTTTGACTTTGATCGATAGTTCCACATAATCGATTATAATTCTATGCAATCGATAATTTCTTACATTTGATAGTAATCATAATCGATTATCATTCAATATAATTAATAATTGTATTTAAAAATCGATTAATCGATACTCTACGTAACGGGTAGTTCTATATGAATATGGTAAAAATGACTTGGATAGTTAATCTTTGAATTTTGTTTATGGAAGGTAATAAAAGTTTTTTTCGTAGTGAGAAAGCCGATAGAAACAGAAACATTGGTCAATTAAATCATGCGTTTCGTCTTTAAATGTAAGAAGGGAAAGCGAATGATCTTTACGTCAGTTATGGCGCGTCATGCCCTACTTGGTTGGGTGGACCAAAATCTTTCTCGATTGGCGAGGAAAGGAGGGGGTAGAAGTGGGTCATCTTCCCCTTCCTCCGAGTAGCGTGGTGCTACCTGGCAGTGGTAGACCAGTTGCTAACCCGCTACGGGGAAGCAACAAGCACAGGAGGAGATGGTGGACAGTTGGTTAGGTCGGCACCTTCCTTTACAGGTATAGACCCTACCAGCCTGTTAGGAATAATTTTGGATTAACGGAGTTTAATCTAAACATTATCTTATGGTAAGTTATATTAAAAAATAATTAAAGGTGTGTATTTATTTCCAACAGATATCGGGTATTTGTAGCGCCCTTTGGTTACGGGGCTATATTCCTATCAAACACGTATCGCAATCCTGAATCCTGATAAAAATTCGTCAGCCATATCGGCCGGCACGGATTCACGTTTCCGTCCGTCCTATCCTTTGCTGGCCCTTATATTGACCGATGTCCTTTGCTGTCATATTTTTTGGTCTTGCCACCTTGTGGATATGTGGCGAATCCAAATTTGAAAAGGTAAGTATTTTCTCATTATCCTCCAAATAAAAATATTTAATTTTACTTAAAGTAGTACGCCAGTAGGTCAAGTTCTTTAATAAAATAATAATTTTTAAAAAAATAACGAAATTTAATAACTGATAACTCGTAAAAAGTTTATCAATCTATGACCCCATCTCTATCATTTTTGCCTTTTCTATTTTCCTGTCAATGACCTTAGAAAATTAATACTCTTATTTATTGATATCAGGAGCATATATTGTTGAAGTATTTATTAATAAATTACTCTACAGCATCTGAAGAGTTAAATTATTAATAGAAATTGAAACAATGAATATCGTTTATAAGCGTGGTCAAACAATATTGTACGTCTGGCGAGTGAGTTGATTGCTCTGGTCTTGATTCTCCCATCAACCTAGTTACTTCTTCCTCTTGGTCGATAACCAGAAACCCGGTCTAATTATAAATAATTACTAGATATAACGTATGCATGCATTTAATATATACCTACATTTTCGGACATTTAATTGGTTAAATTTAGTGCTCCTATAGGATCGTTTGCGAGCTTTTTGAATCCCGTGCAGAAAATCAACACCTTGCACGGACGAACAAGTGGGTTAGTGAGGTCAATTTTCATACAAAGGGATGACGAATGTTTATGCTTTGGAGAAATGAGATTAGAGATAAATTTATCTGTATTTAGGAAATTAAATATATATATATATTTTTACGATTTATTTGGTTGACTTAATGAGTCATTACTATTGAGAAATTATTTTTTTTTATCCTTAAAATAAAAGCGAAATTAAAAATAATTAAATAATATAGAAAATTGTATATTTTCACCCTAGAATTATATATATATAACTACTAAAAGCCGCCGTAAAGCGAACCATCGTAGTTATGTAAACTTAGTGTCATAAATGGAGATTACGTCCTTAGTAATTTAGTTTTAATTATATATAATAAAATAAATATAACTAATAAAGAGTGCAATACTTTATCTTCAGCAGTTTATGCAGTCATAATAAAAAATTTACACCAGTCATAAGAGGGGGGGTTGTAAAACGAGAGGTCGTAAAGCGGGTTCTGCTATATTCCATATATTAAAAATTAAATATTTTAATAATATTCTTAATTATTATTATTAATATAAATTAGGAAATAAAAGCTTTAAAACGTATAACTGAATTATAAATATATTTTAAACGATTCTTCTAAAAAAAAAAGAAAAAAAATTGTTTATACAGGGTGGCCCAAAAGTCAGTTACTGTAAAGATTTTACTGTTTTATTCAGTACAAACTTGGCAAAAATCGCGGCGGTGAATTGACTTTTAGGCCATTCTATATTAATTAATGTTTTATTATTAATTTGTAGAATAAATTATAATAAATAACTTATTTAAATTTAAGTTAATTATGATTAATTTTAGTTTCACGAGAGATTAAGTCAAGAAGAACTTAGGAAGATCTTCCATGTAGATCTTCATAACAATGGTAAATATGGATATAGGATTATATATATTTATTATTATAAGATTTATAATATATTATATTGTTTTTACATTCAGCTTCCTTTATTAAATTGAATATATTTTAAACTGTGAAATATATGAAGTATACTTACTTAAGTTAGATCTAAATAGGCATATATAATTAAAAGTTTAATTCACTTAAGAGAATTTTATATATAATTTTATTATTGATTATCTCTAGATTGGAATTAAGTTTATTGATTGATTTATTTAAAATAAACATTTTTAGTTGAATGTCCGAAGAAGGGAAACTGGTAAGAGCGATAAATATCTATGCTAAGTAATACTTTGGGTGAATGATCAGTCAAAAATCAAGGACAATTGTTTAGTAGACGGTCGTTGTCATCGACTGTCACCTATTTCCCAATTCACTTATATGTTAAAAAACGCCTTTTTTTACACATTTAAACCATCGATAGGCCTACGTTCCATACGTAAACCCAAAAAGAACCAATCGATAAGAGATAAGGTTCCAAATTACAAAACGGTAGCAACATAGTACAATTATCAATATCTTAATATCATTAATTAACGGCGATAACGTTATAGATAACAATTAAAAGCATTAATATAGCCCTTAATAATATAAAATGTCGTTTAAAACAATTTGGGGCATAGCTATAACTTCATATGACCTCGTTTCAATTAGCCTACACCTATAGAGCCCCTTCACTTTTAAAGACACGTAAAATTTCCTGCGAATTCCTTTACTTAAACACAATTAAATTAATTGTAAATAAATTATAATAATAAGAAATAAAATTTTGGTGTCGTGGTTCGAGCTGTTGAGCCAGAACGTAAAAGGAGACCAGCAATTAATTTATAACCAAAAATAACTTTTCTTAGAAGAAGAAGATGAAAAAAAAAGGTCGGCCTATGTTTAATATCGCGTTTTTCTTCACCATTTAAACGCTTAGATAACGAACAACCAGTTAATTCTTTAGGCGAGAAGGTGGAATGTCCTTGGCAATGAAGGAAACTGTTGACCTGATTCTTAAGAGATTGAGGTAAATGGGATGCCAGATAAACATTCACTGTCTCGAAATGCTTTTCTATTCAGGCTAATAAACATGAGCCCAACCTCATCTTAAGTAAAAGTTTTAAACAATATTTTCCCTATTAAATCATGCGCCTAATAGCTTTAACATGCTCGAACCGTTCATGCATTTATGTATTAATTTTTTTTTTCTCTCGTTGAAATTTCACCTGAATTTTAATCAAATTTACGAACAATTCTCTAACTTTCTATTGCTTAATTTATGTAAATTGTGTTAATAATAAGAATGTAAAGTAGGATAATTTAATGCTGTACCGTTTTATTATTTTTTTTTATTGTAATTATTTTTTTCTTTTTTCCTAGTACCTGAATACGACGTTGTTCACGTACGATCTTTATCTAAACGTTCGATTCCTTCCGATGATACGAAACGGGTACACTTATCAGCTTTCGGGCAGAATTTCCATTTAAACTTGAAGAGAAATCATGAATTGGAAGATCGGTTAAAATCAATGAAACTGTTTGCGGCCGAAACTAAAGGAAATGAACTGCGATATAAAGAAATGGAACCGCAGGTAAAAATAGGGACATAATTTTTTTTTCTTTTTACTGTATTAGAGTTTTAAATTTATCCTCAGTTTCTTGACCTGTAATGAACAGGAACATGCGATTTCCGACATGGGCGTTAGTTATCATGATGAAAACCAGATGGCGGCACTACTCGTTAATCATGCGGAGGATGGAAGTCTACGATTGGTAAATTGCATTCCCATTCCATTTAATTATATTCATTAAAAATAAAATAGAATATAATTAGGGATTTTAGTAACAATTTCTTGTTTTAATGAAGATAAAATTATTATAAAAAAAATAGAAAAAAAATAAGTTAAAGGTTGATTTCACTCCAGTAAATTTAATGCGCTTCCTAAAAAAAAAAATATTTTTTAGTAATGGTACGATAGAAATAATATTAAAACAATGGTAATTACTTTCTATAGGAAACTGTCCCTATTTAGATGTAACACACGTGATGAAAAGTCGGAAAACTTCACGTGACCAGTGCAGAGTGTCTATAGGTGTATCCATTCTGNTAAAAAAAAAAAAAAAATTTAATTTTAGACACGGAAATAATTTTTGTAATCTTTTACACGCTAAATTACTTATTTATTAATATAATAAGGAAGAATCAGATTAATTAATTAATAGAATATTTTTTTATATAAACAGGAAGGAACAATTGGTAATCATCTTGTCATCAAACCAATTCCGAAACAATTAATTGTCGTTGAGGATAATTACGTTGATGATGAGATGTTTCTCGATGAAGACGGCAACACTTCAACAACTCACGACATGCAGCGCCATCTGCCGACGCTATCTTCAGTTAACCATGTCGTTTACAAAAGGAAACAAAATTTCCCCTTATCACATTCTGATTACAGTAATATTTTAATTTCTATCAGAATTAAATTTTAAAAAATATATATTATTGATGTCGTGATTATTATTATTTTCAGTGGAATTAGAAGCGGGTTATGCCAATAATTCGGACTGGACCATTAGGAGTAGAAGAACCAAAAGAAAAGCTCCTACCACAGTTTGGCCCGAAGTTTTAGTGGTTATTGATTATAATACTTTTCTGTTACACGGAAGCGATAGTAGGGCATTAAAACGTTATTTCGTTAGTTTCTGGAATGGGGTGAGCTAACTTTTTAGCATAATTTTTTTAAATGAAATTAACGACTTTTTCATGATTTTTTTCCAAAATTACTTTCTTATTTTGTCAGGTAGATTTACGATATAAAGTGTTAGCCAATCCAAAAGTCAAAATTAGTTTAGCTGGTATGGTTGTGGCAAAGGTAAGAAGAACTTATTTATTAATCGGTAATAAATAAATAAAAAATACATGTAAGCTAAAAGCATAATTTAATTAATAAAAAATATTTTCTTAGGATAAAGATGCTACACCATATTTAGAGAAGAATCGTCTTCGTCCTCCAAATTATGATGCTGTTGATGCAGCGGGTGCACTATCGGATATGGGAAAATATTTATACAGAGAGGATCGTTTACCAACTTTCGATTTGGCTGTTGTTATTACTAAATTAGACATGTGTAGGAGGCAGTTCAATGGAGGAAGATGTAGTCGAGGAACTGCTGGTAAGAACCTTTCTTTTCTTATGACACATTAATTATTCGTATATATATATAAAGGAGAATAATAAATATATATATATATTTATCATGTAAGTACATTACGTTAAGTAATTCTTACATTGGCCAAGTTAAAATAAACTTGATTTACTCGTTAGTCACCGAGGATCAAGTAAAGTTAAATAGCGTAGTCATAATACGATCTCACATACTTCGACTGCTTCTAAGTAACAGAACCAATGGTAAAATTTGTTTCAAATATGGGCATAATTTATAAGTATGTATTGTCACATTAATTCATTGTGTACGTTTCAATCATTAGGAATTTATATAGAAAAAACTTTAAAAAGTTTATTAAAGGATTGTTGTTATTTAAGCACGAACACTTTCCTTCAAAAATTCTTTATTGGAAGGAAAAGTATGTATCGTACAATTTAGAATTTATTTAATTATTATAAACAATATTTAAAACTCTCTTCCATGTCTTTGAAGTTAATAATGTTTTCGTTGTGTTTTATGCAATATAATTATATTAATTTATGGAAATCCTTAAAGGTATTTCCACGATGGGCTTTGGAAAGGGATTTATTTGTACATGCAAGGCGAAAAGAATATACAAAACACTGTACTAAATGAGTAATTTTATTTTATTTGATATTTACATGTCATTTTCTAAATAATCAATTTTTCATCGGTGAATTAGCGATTATATTTAACATAAATTCTGATGCATTAATCTCAAGGATTTACGTTTTATTAATATAGTTAAAACACAAGATTTCTTCACAGAAAGTGATCACTGGAGCAAAAAATAACCTAATATATCTTACAATTTTCGATATCAACAGAGATATCGAGCGTGCAGAAATGAATTACGAAGAAAATCTATTACAGATCATATCTCTAGTATAATTTATTCGAATATATCGTAAATTATCCTTTATACTGATGATTGTTGAATTCCTAAAAAAAAAACAAAAATTTTTCTATACTTTTATCTATAATAAAATTTTAGTTTCTTCCTCGTTTAAAGTCGTCACAGTCATTCACCTTGTAAACATTATTTATGATTTTTCAGATGATTTTTCATTGTAATTCACTCAGTCATGATTCATTTAACATCATTCCTTGCCGGAAAAAAAAATGAATTAAATATAAAAATTTCTATATTATTGAACCATGAAATTTATCTTTTATCTCCTTAACAATAGAATGAATTTCAAAAAAATAAAAAATAATGTAGTAAAAGGTGGGATTAACCTTTAAATAAATTTCAAATCCATACGATTTGCAAGAATTTCCTCATCAGACTTTCTCGTGAAAGCGAGAGAAAGCAATAAGGAAAGTGAGCATTTACCTGTTTATTTCACACGGTAAACAGTTCAAGTCAAAATGTCTTTATTTTATATCACATTATAAAGCAATTCGTGATATGATTATGAAACTAGTTTCACTTTAAAAACGGCATTTTCAAACCTGAATTTCGTGTTACTCTGGTCAGGCATACTTTTCACCTTACAATGGGGAGGAGGAGGATTGTTTTATTCTTCTTTTAATGTCTATGTTGCTCGAGTTATTCGTGTTTCAAAAGTTTCAATCAAAAAATATATGTATTTGGATCGATTTCCAAGTTTTCATTGTTATTGTATCGCTTGAAACATACCCAAAACAACGAAATATTTTAAAGTAAATTTCGTTTTCAAATACTTGGAATTTTGTATTGCATAAATGGAATGCCAAAAGGAAGCTGTTCTCAGGAGGACTTTCTATAGGAAACTGTCCCTATTTAGATGTAACACACGTGATGAAAAGTCGGAAAACTTCACGTGACCAGTGCAGAGTGTCTATAGGTGTATCCATTCTGCCAATAGTGGGCCATCATCCATTTTAAACTTTAGTAATTTGAAGTATCGGCTACTGACCAGACTAAAAAATTAGGGTTGACGACCGAGTCCATTCAAAAATTTTTGTGTATTGGACTTGGGTACATTGGGCTCCATTCCTCATCACTCAGATATCTTCATTGTGGTCTTGAGTGAACCCATGTAGGTTATGGGAAGAAAGGCCTTCTCAGTGCCACTAGGCGGAAAGAGTGAAAAAAGTACAAATGTAACCCATTAATTTAGTAAAATAATAAGAGAAAAAATTAATACATTTGAAAGAACTTCCTCGATTACATTAAGAAGATGAAAATCCTTATAAACGAATGTAATTAATTTCTTCAATACTTGAGCAACGTTCAGTTATTTAAGATGAAAATCTATTGTAATTAAATATTCAAATTAAATTACTCAATTAAAATATTGCATAGATTAATACCCCTGTAGTTAATCCAATCTAACACTTAATTTTATAAGACGTTAAATAATTAAATTTTCTTTCATAATTTTATATTATGTAATTAATTATCAGTGTGTACTTTTAAGAATGAATAATAGTAAAAATATGTTAAAGATAAATTAAATAAGACTTTTATTAAAGTTTAATAATCTTGAACTTGCGAAACTTCTCACTTTAGAATAACAAATCTGTACGTGACATTATATTTTCATCATTAAATTAATATATTATGTAATAGTACGTTGTATATAATAACTTAATTATCATATTAACGATATAATTAATCTCTCAGCCGCATCAATGTATTAATAATATAATCTCATTGACTATAAAATAATCCGAATATACACAGTGGATCAGTTAACCAAATTAGCTTTATTTTTAAATTCACTTTAGAAATATTAAAAATTATATAAGTTCTTACGTGTAAAAATACAATTTTTATATGCATCTATGTAAGGGTATGTAAGCTTACTTTATGTATTATTCTTCGGTTATCAATATATAAGAGAATGTTGTGCAAATATGCGTCAAAGGTTCACCATGCTCACCAGTGTCCGAGTGGATAAAACATTGGAATGGATTCACACCTGACTAATAGGCTAGTTACGTGGAGTTTTCCAGGTTTTATTCACGTATTTAATAGGTAAATAATGGCCAGTTTTCCGAGAAAGTCCTTTTGTGAGGTATCCTTAATTCCTTACTTGGCAGATCGTTGTTTTGTAAAACGAAAACTTATTTTAAATTAATAAAAAATAAATGTATTGTTTGTCAAATACTCCCTCTTACTATTACTATTGTTATCAGCATACGACAGTATGTTAAACTAAATTTAATATATAAACGTATTTGTAAGAATCAAAAAGTATGTAAAACTATGGAAATCAAACTCTCTTCTATATTTTTAAATTATTAATGAGCATGCATAACACAGTAAACTCTTCCTTTACGGTCTAATTGGTAGATGATAAGATAAATGGAATAAAGTAACTCAACAGAAGGGTGAACTGTCAAGGGTAGATGCCTCCCGGGAGGACTTTCTACCTCTATTTAGAATACTGTAACGCATATATTGTAAATATTGTACTGTACAGTAAATAAGCAGCTGATTACGCCTACAGTATTTTTAGTGCAAATACAGGATTGTGTATGAATTGTGTAAATTAATTTTTCTGTACCGATATAGGGAATTCTATCAGCAGTCTATTATTATCTTATAATAAAATAAATATAAATTATATACAATATTCTGTTTAATTTTATTTAATTCTTCCCAAACGGGAAGTGTTAAATTCCCTAAACCCGCGCCTTCTATAACTTGTATATTTTATTTTACTTAGAGTTTTTGATGATCGATTTGGGAGACAAGGAGTGAAAATTTAAAAATTCTGTTTTACTTTTATGTTTTAATGCATATAATAATTTTAATAGAATTTAATATTAAAATATAAATTACTTTCTATATACATACAAAGGGTTTGCTTACGTTGGAGGTGCGTGTGTAGTGAATAAAAGATTAGAGAAAGTCAATAGTGTTGCCATTATCGAAGACAGTGGGGGATTTAGTGGCATCATAGTTGCAGCACACGAAGTTGGCCATCTGTAAGTATTTATTAATAATCATTAATTATTATTATATTCGTTACGAACGTTTTAAAGTTTTACTATACATTACTTTTTACAGTTTGGGTTGTGTCCATGATGGTTCGCAACCTCCTAGTTATCTAGGAGGTCCGGGAGCAAGCAATTGTCCTTGGGAAGATGGTTTCATAATGAGTGATTTGAGACATACGGATAGAGGGTTTCAATGGTCAGCCTGTAGTATTCAACAATTTAAACATTTTTTACAGTAAGTAAAGTAATAATTCGTTTAATTACATGTTGTTTGTTCCATCAAGTCGTCGTCGACTCCTGGTGACTGCATGAACAAGTCTTTTCTTGTCCATGTAGTTTTCTTGGCAAGAGTTGAGGAAGTGGTTTGCCATTGCCTTCATCCTTCCTTATTAATTACATAAATAGACTTATATCCATACACAATAAGAAAAGAATCTTATAAAAGTACACGCAAATAACTAATGCAGTTGTTTCTGACATCAATATCAATTAGTTAGTGCCACTTGTTCTTAAACATTGAGAACTACTAAAGACTTAGAAATGGGATAAGATGATGTTTCATATTTTTCTTAGTTTTATGTAATTTATTATTTAAGAAAATAAAATTTTACCCATTTTTATGCGTATTTTAACTTATCTTTAAGTACGGTTTGATCAATGACGAAAGGAAACTAATCTATGTCTATTTATGAATTTAGATATTATTTTGTAAGTTAAGGATTTATAACAGAAGTAATACATGATAATATATTTATAATTGATAATTGTAGTTTAGATTCAATCTTCAGTAAAATTTTAAATAAAAGAAACAAGTTTGTCCTCAAGTAATTTACATAACCACAATCAAAATTCTTGATTATATTTTTAAAAAAAATTCATTTTAAATTTTAAATTGAACTCTTCCATATTTTCAGAGGTGAAACAGCAGTGTGCTTATATAATTATCCACACGATAACCAGATACTATCAAGAGTACTACCAGGAACAACAATGTCTTTAGATGATCAATGTCGTAAGGATAGAGGAACCACCGCTTGCTTTGTAAGTACAATCAAAAGATATTCTTTAATAACCTGATTTATTTACTATAATATTTCTTATGAATTACTTACATTATTAATTTGAACATTTAGAAAGATGCTCGAGTGTGCGCTCAGCTATTTTGTTACGACACTTCTTCGGGATTTTGTGTGTCGTTTAGGCCGGCAGCCGAGGGTTCTACGTGTGGTCATGGACAAGTAAGCAATATAAATTCTAATTAAATAGCTAACTAAAAGCAATAAAAATTTCTTTCAGGGAATTTTACGAGATTCCTCAGAGAAATATACTGATGATGTCATAATATTTTGGCTAAGACAGCAGCAGGAGCCTCGTGAACTTCCCTATAATACATGATATCGATATCATATTTGTAATAGATGTATCAAGAACATTATTATTATTTGATAAGAGAATTCATTAGAAGGATAAATACTTTCTATTATTATTAAATTGCATCACATACTTAAATTAAATACGAAAAAATAAATGATTTATATATTAGGTTTGTAGAGATGGTCGTTGCGTAGGAGAAACAGAAAATATTATACCTGACTATACTCATTACACACCAACTTATGCAGGGAGACATCCTAATTTTGTTTACAGACGAACGGACAGGAGAGGAACCACACCTTACATTTCAAGAACAACACGTGAAATTATCACTAGAACAACACCTTCGCAATCTCCATGTAAGAATCTTGTACATTGTGGTATCATTCTAATCAATAATTTTTTATATTTTAACTTATAAATTTATTTATTTTATTTACAGCATCGTGTGAAGACAATGCTCAACAGTTAGCGGGAGGGCTGACGTGTACGGAATTTCTACAAAGATACGGATTTCGTTATTGTAAACATCGTTACATGAAACAAAAGTGTTGCAAATCGCAATTGAAATTGTGTTCTCATAGTTAACGCATTGTTGACAATTGTTAGTAAAATACAAAAGGCCAAGGAACAATGTTTTTAAAGACGATCTTTCAAGTTTAAATCCAATTCCAAGTGTTCAAGAATTGGTGATTTAAAAAAAAAATGTTTTTATTCTTAAATTTTTTTAGACCGAAATATATTAAAACAAGAAAGAAAATCTCTATTTTTCTAGCATGTATTTTTTTTTCCGGTAATGTTCCTATTCCGTTATTTTCATTTAAATTTCTTCCAGTTCACATAAATATTGGGATCGACAAACTCTCAGAGCAATATGTGATACGTGAAGTGTATTATTTCATCTAGAAATTTTTACGATAAACGATGATTTATCAGGAAAATTTCAAATGATTTTCGGGAAATAAGGACTTTCCTTCCACATCCTGTTTACCTTGTTTCTATTCTTTACGGTGGTTTCATTGACAATAAACTATTTATAAATTTTTGTTTCTGACTGAAATTTTCCTTAATTTTCATAACAAATTCTGAATATAAGAAAATATTTCAAGTTTATTTTAAACTTTAAAATAAAGAGGTTGAGGCGCACGTTTTAAACGTGTAAACGTGTACGTGTGACGTTCGGCGCCGCTTTCCCGTAAGCCTAAAAGTTTGACAATGATGTTTGGATAGTCGGTGGAATCACGCTCGACATTCCAAACACCATCGTCAAACTTTTAGGCTTACGGGAAAGCGGCGCCGAACGTCACACGTACACGTTTACACGTTTAAAACGTGCGCCTCAACCTCTCTAATATTTTACTTTTTTCTTATAAATAAATAAATTAATTAATTATTAATTAAAATGGGCTAATTTCATTTTATTACTTGTTCGTATACATAATTTTTAATGAAATTGCAAATTATACTTGCAATATACAGAAATATTCGTGAATATTTGAAATATATATTGAAATTATTGAAAATTCTCTATAAAGTTCTCATATAAAGTACTCCCTGGAGGAACCTTTCTCATGGCAGATGATCCAAGTTTTGCATTGCCTTATTCCAACTAATCCAATCCAATTTTAAACGCGTAAGTAGTTGGAATTTTGAAGGGAAAGCTTAAAATTTCTTCGTAACAAACAATAAGACTTATAGAATAGTTTGTATACTTTAAATTTCCTGACGTTATTAAGCAGTAGTTTTTTCTCTTGATTCTGGTCTTGTATGTTCTGTTTTTCGAACGAAGATGAATGGTATCATTGGACTATATTTCCTAGAATATATTTTAAAAATTAACTTTATTTATCTTTTTTTCACTCTAATCTGATATCACTTACTGTTTGAAAGTCGGTACTATAATATGATAAAATAAACATAAGGCACCACATATAGCAACTTGAGACACTAGATAGAACCAAGGGACTAAAACAAGACTGATATTTTTCTGAAAAATTAAAATTTTTAATTAAAATTTCATATGTTATGTCAAAAATAATTTAGTTTTGAAACTTACTACTGTATCGAAAGACAATGAAATGACACTAATTGCCACTGGTACGTTTTGAATTCCACTTTCAATTGCGATAGTGGTGCAGATGGCACGGTTTCTTCTACACAAAAAACTTAAAAAATATCCCATTACAACACCAGTTAAGGGCATAAGAACTGTCGTAAGAATTAGTATGAAAGTAAGTTCATGAATTATCCGTTGAAACGAAATTAATTCTAATACAAATGATAGAAGAAAGATGCCTAAACCAAGAGCGCTACCCCACTGTAAGAGAAAAATTAAATGATAATTTATCTAATGATAACTCATTTATACTTAAAGATTACTTTACAAATCTTATTCTAAGAATTGCTTTATTTACTTTTGTGATGTAAACAGATGCACGTGGAAATTTCCATCGTATGATCATACCCACAAGAGCGGGAGAAGTTATCATCACTAATGACAATGCCATATTGCCAAAAGGTATAACTAACTGATTTGCTATCTGACCTGAGTATAACCAGACGTTCAAAGGCATCATTCCTAATGCTAAAACAGTAGATATTGTAGTCATGCTGACACTAAAAATTACAATTTTCACACATTAAAACTATATTTAACAATCCAAATACGAAATAAACATTAAAAATAAGTACTGTAGTAGTGGTTTGGGCCATACTGATCACAAAATTAATTTCAGATGTCGATTAAATTAAAATTGCAAATAAAAATTTGTTGAATGGAATTATTTCAGATCACAAATCTTAATTTCATTTTAACAATAAGGCTGTATTAATTATTAAATGTTTTTATAAATTTAAATTAAATTAATTTTATTTTAACAATAAATTGCTGGCCAAGTACAGTAGAGCGTCGTTTATCCGAATCAATTGGGGACTAGTGTTGTTCGGATAACTTATTTTACGGATAACCGATTATGTACGAAAAAATATATTAACCTATCCCGTGTTGAAAGTTTTCTCCGTTGCGTGTCGCTTCGCGTTGAATTTTCGTCGATGTTAAACCTAACGTAAACTTTTTAAAATAATAATCGTGGCTATTGTATCGTTAAAAATGATTTCTTTATGTTTTACAAACGAAATAAATACATTGAAAAATATAAAAACAAATAAAAATTATACTTTAGGCCGACTGGAATTCTTTCGGATAANTCATTAAAAATTATTATATTAATAATTAACTTACTGTAATATCAAAAGATAGTGAAATAATGCTAATTGCAACAGGTACGTTCTGTATTCCACTTTCAACCGCGATGGTTGTGCTTATTGAATTTGATCTTTTACAAAGAAAACCTATCAGATAACCCGCTATAATACCTGTGGTTGGCATTAGAATTGTAGTAATTATTAATTTTAATGGTATCTGATGAACGACGTGTCTAAAAGATATCAATTCTATTAAGAATGAAGTGATGAAGATTAAGAAACCTATTGCGCTACCCCACTGTAAGAGAAAAATTAAATATTAATTTATCTAATACTAACCCATTTATATTTAAAAAATGCTTTAAAAGTCTTATTCTAAGAAATGCATTAATTACTTTTGTGATGTAAACAGATGCACGTGGAAATTTCCATCTTATGATCATACCCACAAGAGCGGGAGAAGTTATCATCACTAATGACAATGCCATATTGCCAAAAGGTATAACTAAGTGACTCGCTTCTCTAGTTGCATATAACCAGACATTCAAAGGCATCATTCCTAATGCTAAAACAGTCGATATTGTAGTCATGCTGACACTAAAAATTACAGTTTTTACACATTAAAACTATATTTAACAATCGAAATACAAAATAAACATTAAAAATATATAAATTTACCTCAAAGATACATCACCATTTAAGTAATAAGTGAAAATATTTGATAGAATTCCACCAGGAGTACATGATATAATAAGTAATCCGGTTGCTACTTCCGCTTCCAGTTGAAAGATGTGTTTATAGGTATACCCTGATAAAGGCATAACTATAAATTGACAAAATATTCCAATCAATACTGCGATTGGTCTTCGTACATGGTTCCAAATCTATATAAATCAGTAAAGAAATTCATATTACAGACTATTGATAAACACAGCTAATAGAATTATTGTGCTTACCTGACCCCAACAAATGTCAGCACCCATTGACATCATTATTATTATGACTGTCAGGATAATTAAAATATCTTTAGCTAATTTAGGAACTTCTGGCCCATAACTGTGTTCATGATCATCAATTGTGAAGTTAGAGGAGGAATTTTCCACCAATAAAGGTGATGTTATATTGAAAATAGTTTGAAAAATAGTTGTGTTATTTGTCATGTTGAATTTCAGAAACTAAACGATCTCTGAAATGAAAAATATGGTTAAATATTTTAAATAGTTTTAATTTAATATTTATAATTTGAAGATTAATTTTTGAATTAATGAATGCAAAAATAAAGAATTCTAAAGTGTAATATCGAACGAAATGGGTTAAACTAATACTATTTTACATAGAAAATCGTTACGTACACATTTATTTTCCATTTAGGTTGGTTACGGTTTTGCAGAAGTCCGTTTTAAACAGGTTTTTGTATATATATGTTTAATATTTAAATAGTAAATATTAAAGAAACATTGTATAACTTTGTATTGAATTTTATTCTTTATTAAATTGTAGAATTACTGTACAATTACAATAATGTTACGAAAGTATGAAGTTAATTAAAATAAATAAATCTGAAATTATAAAACTGCCTTCTTACTATTTTATAATTATAATTCTCCTCTAACTAATTACAAAATTGTGAAATAGTTTTATAATTAGCTCCCAGCTACTTTATATCATACCTTAATTTGTCATTAACCTATCTGCGGGGGATTTTCGCTAGCCCTTGATTGGATGTGTGCTCATGTTTAGGTTAACGTTGTTTGCTGTTTTATTTAGCGGAATTTTGATATGTTCTATTAAATCGGGTCATTTTTATATCGTTGTTAACCTCACCGACATATAACCATTCTCCTATAATGCATTCGTGTTATGCAACAAGGTACTCTACCCGTGTGTGTTGTGCAGCAAAGCATTTATTTGTCATATTTAACGGCCTGTTCTGTGATCCTATTTGATACTTCGAAATAGATTAAAAGGTTTTTACATAAGTTTTTATCTACAGTGATTGGCCTATTATTTTTGAGATAATTAGTCGGGAACGGCTGTAACAAAAACACTAGCCATTTCTAAGCTTCGTGTATACTACATTGAAATTTTTCATCAGTTTCTTACGTTCTGTAACATACTAAAATTTCAGCCAATTTTACCGAGTGCCAAACCCCCCATAACGAACGTTCTGATTTCTTTAAACGATAAAAAAAATTCAATTGAAGAAATTAATTATTTAGTAAAAATTTTAATTTTTTTAAAATATTTTTCTTATAGAATTTGCATAATATAACGATGTTGGCTAAAAGAATAAAAGAAAATAGATTAGCTGGCGATGCCTCCTGGGAGGACTTATGGTAAACAAGCCCTAAGTATATAAACCTGAAAACAAACCGGTAAACTCCACGTAGGCGAGATGCGAACCCACGATCAGAGTTCAGTGGTCCACTGATGGATTAGGAGGAGAAAAAGAAGGAAAAAGACGAAACTGAACGCGAAACACCATCGAAGACTCTTCTTGGTCGCTCTCTTTCTAGAATCAAGTGCATCAACAACTAATCAGATAGTAATCATCAGTGTAAAACACAACACAAGAAAACACACCTTGGAATTGAAAGACTTCATACAGACTATCAATCATTTCCATTGATGGTCTGACCGTACGTAACAACGAGCAGGACAATGGAATCAAAAGGATTAATGAAAATAGTGTAAATTAATTAATTTTCATTTTAAACTTGAAAATTATGTTTTCTAGAAACAATTAACAATGTTTTGACTTTACGCATGGAATTCAGAAAGTAGAAAATTCGTGAGTTTTTTAGTCTCTAAACAAATTTAGAATGATTTTTTTCGCGTGTTTAACATCTAAATAGGGACCATTTCCCAAAGAGTTTTTCCGGGAGGTATCCTCCCCGGAAACATTATTCACTTATTTAATCAATTCAACCAATTCTTTCAGCAAAGGAGAACTAAGCTAACGTTGTCAACAGACAAATGTAAATTATTAAAATAAAATTGTCAATTTCATGTGTTGATTCGCTTACAAAACATTAGGTTTAGATATTCCTTTATCAGAATAATATAATTTTTATCAATTCCGAATCATATATCTTTTTCTTTTAATCTTTCTTATGCAAGATCTATTTAGTTTTATTAATTCTAGAATAATAATGATTTAATGGTAGATGTTGGACACATTGAAATATTCTTTATAAATATTCATAAAAAAATATAAATAAATTCCGGAGTTATTGAAGAGTTTATGAAAATACTATTTGAGAATCAGGATTGCCCATAGATAGGGTCATTTGTTCCCGAACTGTTTGTAAAATTTGCCCAGAATTACAGAATTTTATGGAAATAATACCGAATATCCCATTCGGATCACCTTGTATAAGAGCATTACTTTATAAAAGAATTAATAAGATCATTATTATATAGAGCAATATTATATAAGAGCATTAATTAGAAGCATTACTTTATTAATATTAAATATATTAAATTATTAATATTTAAAAGCATTACTTATAAGGGCATTAATAACACCATTATTATATAGAACTATATGTAAAAGCATTAATAAGAGTTATTACATAAGGGCATTATTAAGAGCAACGTTATAAATTAATTCTTAATTTTATATCATTAATTAAAGGTATATCAGGATGTTGTTATAAAATCACATAAAAGAATGCTGATGCAATTATAGATATTATACCCTCTTCCATATTTTATTTTCTAGTTGGCTTGAAAAGTCATCATTTTGGGGAAGATTTTCCATTGTGGAGTTCACAACAGAGGAAACATCTTTCTTGTGACAAATTAAACCTATGAATTAATTTTTCACAAGGAAAGAAGCAGACTAGATCTCGAACTTATTGAAATGGTTCTTTTTGTATAGAAAACTAGTTCGTATTTAGGTGTTACACATGTAAAGAAAATCCAAACTACTTTACGTGGCCAGTTGCAAACACACGACCAGTATTCAGCGGTTTTATACATTTGGCCACACCACTGATTACAATAAATACAGATAGCACGGGCGGATGGCTATGCGGTTAATCTGGAAGTCTATCTCTCTGGAGAGGGCTTAGAATCGAACCCAAAAAACTCCAGTATTTTTCGGGGTGGACCGTTCGGATATGTCAGATCCCGATCCTCATCATTCGACCGCCCCAGTGTAAAGTCTGACCGAATCCATAATCGGTTTGCTTAAAAGAGTCCTCATAGAACGGAGTGTTAATAAATAATTATGAATAAATTTTTACTTTAACTTTATATTTTGTTGTATAAAACTGTTTTATTAATGAAACTCAACAGTTGAGCGATCTGCCTAGAGAGAATGCCTTCCGGGAGGTCTTTTTAAGGATAACTGACCTCTATTCAGGAGTCACAGACGGAGAAAACCAGGAAAACTCCACGTGGTCAGCCCGTCCTGGCGAGGAACGAACCCACGACTGAATTCCCAGTGTTTAGGGAACGGAACCGCTTGGCCACTGGTAGGCTGTATAAAATAGTAAAGTGTTTATTATAAAATAAATTTTACTTACATTTGATCTCTTTAAAAACGTCAGTTTTAATTGGAATAAAATCTTCGTTAAACTGTAAAGAATCAATACTACAATTTTTTTTCACGTTTTTTATAATATATATTACAAATATAATGACGTAAGTACTACGTTTGATGACGTAAAACGTTTAAAATCGAAATATATAATTAAAATTAAGATAAAAATTAGCTAATATGTAATTAATTCCTGAAAAAAATTATTTGTATGTGAAATAAAATAAAAAACTTTAAAAAATATAAATTAATAAAAGAGAATAGAAATTTCACAAAGATTTAAAATAAAAATTGATGCTAATTTCACTTTTTTTTTTAAATGTGAAATAATTTTATTTATCATTTTTTTGCAAATAGATGAAAAATTATGAATGGAGAACAAATAGTTTTGTATAGGAGGACATTATAATAAATAAGCTTAAAGTAAATAAAAAATTATTTTTAAAATTATCTTTTATTACAAAAAACTATAACTATTTAATTTTGATAGTAATTCTTCATGATAAATTCTAAATAAATAAAATTTTTTAAAGTCAAAAAAGTAGCGTATATCCTTCATGTAGATTGTAGAGAACAAAGGATCCCTATTAGCAGTGGGTTCGCGCCTCACAAAGGGACTGGTCATAGAGAGTTTTCAGGGTTTCTTCGTGTATCCAACACTTAAATAGGGACCACTTTCCCATAGAAAGTAATTTTGAGGTGTATTACTTTAACAGATAGCTCATGCGTTTCGTTGTCTTATTTCATCAATCCAACCTATCCAATCCTCATACCGTATACTGACCATTAAAATTGAAGAAATTTTCAATCAGAGATAAAATAAATAAATGAACTTTCCTCTTTACGTATATTAAATTTTGATATATATACCTTCAAATTGCAAATTTACGCTCTTACAACTTTATAAAAAAATTTAGAAACAGTGTTATTACAGTAATATGAATCTTGTGTATGAATAATAATATCCCATCAGTACACGTCCAAATTTCTTCCATTATGGAACATCACGTCTGTTGAGGGAGTAATCCTAAGTTATACAAAGGTGACTGAGTGGATAAAACCGTTGAACACTAATAATTGGTTGTGGGTTTGCGTCTGACCGACGGGGTTGGCTTTTCGCGTGTTTAACATTTAAATACGAGCCAGTTTCAGGTTCGAAAGCGATCCTTTGTCATAACCTAAAATCGTGATTTTCTAGAATAAAAAGCATAACTGAACCTACAGCTTTACAGGAGACACATTTCAGTACCACATAATATGCGAAAGATTATCCAAATACATGAAGTACGCTTCTGAAATTCTTACAACCGAAATATGTTATATAGAAAGTAATTAAAGATGGTGTAACAAACCTGTATCAGAATATCCTACAGTGCAAATTAAAATTATATTAAAATTGGAAGAACCTTTATGAGCCTGCATGCGTTAGAGTAAGTATACTTAGCATTAAAGATGTTTATGCGTGCCAAAGTTTTAAAATTTAGATTTCGGATAACACAATTTTAAAAAAATTAAACGAATTAGAATAAATGTAAAAAGCTGATTGAAAAAAATGATGAGATGATAAACCGAAAGGATGATTGAAAAAGAGATGATAAATCAAAATCGTATAAT